AACATGAACAGTTTCATTGTCTGTCTGAACCAGGTTTGTTTCCTAGAAATGCTTTTGGCCAACCAGCACTTGTTTTCACAACATGAACAGTTTCATTGTCGGTCTGAACCAGGTTTGTTTCCTAGAGCCTGTTTTCAAACTGGGGAGTGATCTTTCTGAGTTGGTCTCCCAAAAAGGTAGGAGTAAAAGTTGAGGCCAGTTTTAGAAGTTTTACTTCACCTTGTAAGAACACCGTTCTTTTTTCTTTCCTTTTAAGGCACGGTTTCACGTAACTCAGGCTAGCATCAGACTTGTTGTGTAGCTCAGCATGACTCTTTGGATCAGCATGCCTCACCTCCCTGGTGGTGTACTACTGCCAAGCCCAGTTAATGTGCTGCCACTTGAGCCTCCGGGCTTTGTGCATGCTGGGCTAGCCTTCCACCACCAGCCCTATATCACTAGCCACCCCCCCCCCCGTTCTTATTAACTGTCCCTTTGTCCCCCAACCCCTAGAAGCAGTATTTTGTCTGTATAGATTACTTGTTCTGTGTGTTTCAGATGGTTGGAATAATATATAATATATTATAATATATATAATAATAGTACATAGGATTTTTGTGGCTGGCTTTTCCCCTGCAGAATAATGGTTAGAGTTCGCCCTTTTTGTTTGCCGTTGGTGATGGTACTGACAGTGCACACTTTTAATCCCAGAGGAGGCAGGCAGATTTCTCTTAATTCTGACGCCAGGTGATGTAAAGAGTGAGTTCCAGGACAGACAGGGCTACAGAGAGAAACCATGTTTCGACATTGCCTGAATGTATCCTTGTATATGTAAGACATCAGTTGCCAAGCATTTACATTGTTACTATTTATTTTTTTAGTGTTACTAATAGCCATACCTTGAGTGCTAGTGGGCAACTTAGTATGGCTACATTTCTGTTTCTCTAGATTATTTAAGTGGAATGGCTTCTCAAGTGCCTGTTCCCATTTGCTACTAGCAGCGGGTAAAAGTTCTTTTTTTTCCCCCACATGTTTACAGGTATGAAGTGATAGCTTGTAGTGTGCCCCCTCCCTCACAGAAGCTTGATAAGAAGGAAGCCTACAGCATGTGTAGGTTTTTTGTGGAGGGGTGGTCATGTGTCCTGTTGTATGTTGTCAAAGTGTTTGGTTATCTGGCATTTCACAAAGGTTTGGGTTCTATTTGTAGCACAGGGAACAACCAACCATGGACTTAAACCAACAAGAACTAGGTTGATGGCTCTGGTGAGAGCTATTCAAGCCTGACTGCATGAATCCCAGAACCCTTGAAAAGGAGGAAAGGGAGAACCGACCCCACAGTTCTATTTCCACATAAAAATCATGGGACATACGTTCCCCCTGAGGATATTAGAATAAATGTAAAAATCATAACAATTGCAAAAATCCTTGACATTAGGAAAAGTATTTGTATAGTCATGTGATTGTGTGTTTGGGGGTGTTGAAGTTAAGAGTAATCCTTAGAATACAGGCAGAGTTCCGGGCTACTCTGGGCTACATAATTAAACTTTGTCTCAAAAAAATCAAGCATACTGGTTATGTCACTAGAGAGATGGCACTTGTTGGTCTGGTGGACTGTTTGTTTCACAGCATCCATATGGCAGTTCACAAACGTTCTTATCTCCAGTTCCAGGGGTCCAACGCCTGGCCTTGGGGGTATAATGCGTGCAGGTAGCACACAGATAAACACACGATTAAAACAGCTGTAAATAAAAATTAGTGGCTTTTTAAGTATTCAGGTTATGATTAGAGAAAATTTTTTGAAATGATTTCTACCCAAAGAATGGTTTTGTCTTCCTACTTTGTTAATGTATTGAGAGAACATGAGGTACTGATAAGTGCTGTGACTACCACAGAAGTGGGATCCTAGGCTGTCTTAGTATTCTATTGCTGTGAAGAGACACCATGACCACAGCAGCTCTCATAAAAGAAGACACTTGACTGAGCTTTGCCTACAGTTTTAGAGGCATGGCTGGGTGCCCGGCAGGAAGGCATGGTACTGGAGCAGTTGCTGAGAGCTTTACATTCTGAGCTCCCCACAGAGAGCAAGCAAGATACTGCATGGGCGTTTGGGCTTCTTCTGAGGCCTCGCCTCCTAATCCTTCCTTGACCGATTGACTGGGGAAGAAGCATGCAAATACAAGAGCCTACAGAGGGCCAGTCTCACTCAAACACCACATGGGCTAGACGGTTTTAGAAATATGGTGTGCTAGGATATTTCCGAAGAACAGGAAGAAGAATGCAGCTGAGCAGAAAGCCTGTTGAGCATCCTAAAGTGAAATGCCTGTCTCTAAATTGGGTGCCTGCTGCTCTGAGTCTGCTAGGATGGATAGATGGCTTCTGATAGTCTGAAAGCCTTACTGCCCTGAACGTTTTTGGTCTCACCTGGTAACTTGAATACATTGTAATTATTAATGACAGATGGGGAACTGTAAAGTAAAACACGTTTTTAAAATGTCATAGACCCTTAAGTAAAACAACCTATTTTAATAAGCCAAAGGTGTCTGCTCTGGATATTAGAATACTTGCTAATGGGTTTCTGCTCTTTGCTGTTGCCTCTAGTAGCTTCATATCCAATGATTAAAACTTTCACTGCTGTTCACATAATGAGCTGTTGTGATTATTGAATAATAAATGAGGATATGTAAGCTTTACTAAAGGTGCTGTTGTTACAGATTGTCCTACCTTGCACATGATTTATAAGAAAATCTCTTTTTCAGGAATTGTGTTCTTGGTGATGTCTGAAAGATATATGGCTTTGGAGGATTATGAAAAGCACAAGAAAGGTATAGTCATCTGCTAAATATTCTGAGAGAGGGTCTGACCTGGAAAGATTATGCAAGTAAAATTGAAATCTGAAAGGCTTTGGTGAAATCTTAATTACCTATTTTTGGAATGGCAAAAACAATTTTTATGCCATTTATTGTGTACCGGTATGTGGCGCCTAGAGGACAACTTGGGAGTTTGTTTTCTCCTTTTGTCACCTTGTTCTCAGGTATCTAACTTGGGACATCTGTCTTAGTGACGGTGAGTGGCGGTGCCTTTATTTGCTTTGTGTGTGGAGGTGTTTTGTTTGCATGTAAGTCTGCACCATGTGTATGCGTGGTGTCTGAGGAGGCTGTACGAGGGTGTCCGTCCCCTGCAACTGGAGTTGGAGAGGCTTGTAAAGCCGCTATGTGTTTGCTATGAATCTGACCCCAGTCCTCTTAAGTTTTGAGCCCTCTCACCACAAACCCTGTAAGGCTCAGAGACAGCTGTGTGTGCCAGGCATTTTGCTGCAGCTGTGCTTTTATTTTCTGCACGGCTTCTCAAAGGGCCTACAGGCGTATTATCATCATGGTTGGAGGGTTAGTACTGTGCCTCTTGAGCATCTGCCCTATTGTCAGAGTCCTGGCTAGTACTGCCAGCACCTTACATGCAGTGTCCTGCTGTGACTCATTTACAAGGTTTCCCATTTTTAAAATTCTGTTCTTTGCTTTAGAAAGTGTTGGAGTTCTGGGATCTCTGGTTACCAAATTTAGGTAGTCCTAACTCTTACATAAAATTTTGTTTTTTCTTTTTTGGATATGAATGTGAATTGAGCTTCTTATTCAATTAAAGTTGTTCAAAGTGACAGGCGTTACTTTGTCTGAGGAGAATCCAGGCTAGGGGTAGGTATTGGATTTGTTTATCACTGTCTGAGGACCTGGCTTGAGAGGACTGCACCAGCCTCCAGACTCATGCCAATTGTCTGATGTTCCCTGAGGTCATAGAAAGGGGAGCTTCTAAATCTTGGTTGAGGAGGTCCACCCTGTCTAATGTAAGAGGGCTTATAAGAGAGTAACAGGCCCATTTATTTCATATGTAGGATTTGGGTTTATATTAAGCATGTGGATATAGTGTTTGAATCCAGCAAATGGGTATAAGAGCATGCATATCCAAGTAAGTGGTTCTTTATTTTAAAAAAGGTGTTTTCTGTGTGGGGGTGTTTTGCTTGTCTGTGTGCCTGCACCACATTTGTATCTGGCACCTAAGTTCCAGAAGTCAAATGGAGTTTGAAGTCACACAGGAGTTAAGGAGTTGTGGGCCATGTGGCTGTGGAGCAGCGAGTTCTGTGACTGCTGAGCCAGCTCCTAGTGATGTGTCCTCCCCAACCCCTACATTCTCATCCTGGAACTCACTGTGTAGGCCAGCCTGGCCTCCAATTCATGGATCTTCCTTGAGGGGCTTGATTTTCCCTGCATATATTCACATGCAATTTATGGATGTTAGTATGGAAAGTTTCTAGGGCACTTAAAGTCTTTTTAGTCGGGGGGGTGGGGGTAGGCCCGGAGAGATGGCTCTTCCACAGGTCCTGAGTTCAATTCCCAGCAACCACATGGTGGTGGCTCACCACCATCTATATTGGGATCTGATGCCCTCTTCTGGCATGCATGTGACCTGCAGATAGAGTACTCATGTAAAATAAATCTTTTTTTACAAAGTCTTTTTAGTCAGAATGTTTTTCTTGGAGCGTTTCCTTCTAATTATGGAGGTAGTTGGAAAAGCTGGTTGGAACTAAACTATAATTAAAAATTAGGAATCCTCATTAACATTTTTTTGGAATGTGGTTTTGGTCCAGCTGTACAAATATTTAACATCACTGAAGTATATTGACATTTCCTCCAAAGCTTCAACAAGTGTGCTGAGCATATATTTACAAAGTACCTGTTCCCTCCTTGGTGCTTGTTTGAACTTTGTGGGTGTTGGCTTCTTTCCATGAGCAACGTGGACTATCAGGAAATCAGAATAGCCCTATTCTATTGAATACTCTATCAGATGGAGTTCTTTAAAGGAACAGAGTCGATAGGCTAGATGGACACACACATACAGGTGGGTTTAGAAGGCCTCACCGGCTGTGGCCTATCCAGCGCAGCAATGGGTGTCTCTGAAAGGAGAGGCCAGGGGGCTGGGCGTTCCTCAGGAATCGTTGGAATCTGGAAGAAGTGGGTTCTGGTGCCAGCAAGAAGTGAGGCAAGCTGGTGGGAAGCAAAGACTTCTGTGGACACTGCCACTAGAAGGTGTGGCCTTCCCACCTCCAGTAATCCAATTAAAATCTCTCAGGTGTGCCCTGCTGCTTGGGCTGTTCCTGCCTTGGTCAGGCTGACAACCCAAGACTGGTCCACGCTGTCTTTGTGGTCTTCCTCACTCCTCCCTGAACATAGAAATGACTTGACTCACAGACAAGACTGACTTTGAACTTGAGGCACAAGAGCAACATAATTGAGTTATCAAAAACAAAAAAGCCACACACATGGTTCTTATGTTTTAATAGTTAAGTGTAGCTGTATTATATTGGGTTGTATTCATAGCTATTCTCAGCTGGATGGGGTCGAATCTGGGTTGCAGGTTAGCCACGCCTGCTAAGAAAATTAGATCTTAGTTGGAAACCTTTAGGAAATATTGTATACTTAAAAAGGGGGTGGAGGGATGGCTCAGTGGTCAAGAGCACTGGCTGCTCCTCAAAGACTTAGGTTCACTTCCTGGTACTGACATGGCTGCTCACAAACATCTGTAACCCCAGATGTTTGTGATGTTTGTGATGTTCAGATACCCACGGTATCTGAAGCCTTTGGGCACATGCATGCATGCATGTGGGCAAAGCACTCTTCCATATAACATAAAATAAATGCTAAGGAAATATATTACACATGAAGTACAAAATAACCAGTTTTATTACATAGTAAGGTCAATTTTCCATATCAGGCTTGCCTGGTGGTGGGAAGATGCCACTAAGGTGACGTGAGATAGTCTGAACAAAGGAGAAATTACAGTAATACACTTGAAATAGTCTTTATGAGTTTTTATGGCATGTTTTACATTAGATAATAGTTACTTTTTAAATTGTATTTACATTTTAAAGGGCCAGGCATAAGAACAAAACATTTCTGAGTTTAAATGGAGCGACCGCAGATGCCTGTAATTAGCTTTCTCTACTGCTATTTGCATCATAAGGACATTTTACATAATTGTGACTTAAATATATGGTGTAATTTTGCATTGATTTGTCTGTTTTTTTGTAGGAATGAACTCAGGATGTTTTTCTCAAGATTGTACCATTTGCAAATTTATTCAGTAATTTTGGAGATTTATATAAGGTAAGGGATTTATAAACTTAGTTGTTCTTTATGTAGATTCAGGGACTTGTAGTTACCAGGCTGGCTTTCAGTTCTAATTCTGCCTCAGGCTTGGTTTTGCCTCAGACTTCTTCTGATGTGTAGGAATAACTTTGAGGAGATACAGCAACTGGTTATCAGTGTTACCAGACTTTTGGCTATGTGAGAGCTAGTAATGTCTGTCCTGACTTGGTATCATCCATACCTGGGCACCTTCTTTATATGTGGAAGAAAACTTAAACCTATCAGCCAACTGGAACATAATTGTACCTTGGCCTACCTGCCTGGATATACATTACTCCAGACAGGTCACACCTCTGTTAATTGGATTAGGAATCATTGCTGGGGTAGGTATCGGTGTAGAGGGAGTAGCCTTTTCAAAGACCTCTTAAATTAGTTTGCTAATGACCATGCAGGACCAAATGGACTGATGGTGTTTTACAAAATGGGAAGAGCTAGGCCTGTGGAAGGGGTGCTTTGTCACTTCTAAATGAAGACTGTCACTTCTGTGTAACCAAGTCGGGATGATCAGAGATATGGCCCACAAGTTGCAAGGGGAGGGGGGCTAGCTAATTATTGGAATAATATTAAGTTATGATCAATATATAAGAAAATGTTGACTCAAATGGGGGTGTAATGAGAAAACCGGAATCAGTTGACGCAAAACCATAAAATCAGTGAAGCAGCTGATTCAAAACAAATTACCTTTATTTCTGCCTATGATGGAAAGTAAAAAGTCCTATGCCAAAAACCGAAGTGTTGAAAGAATAAAAACAGCAACAAGACCCAGAGACCAGAGTCCAGGCTCTTGGGGCTTACTCAGCCACACCCCTTTTACGGTCCTTCACCCACTCTCCAGGCTTGTTCAGAAAGCAAAAGTATACTTCACAGAAGCCTGATGGCTGAAGTTAATTCCTGGGACCCATAGGGTGGAAGAAGAGAATGGATCCTGAAAGTTTTCTTCTGACCAGATACACCCAACAAGTAAATAAATGTGATTTTTAAAAATAAATATAAAACTGAAACATTAGAGTGATGGTGTTTTGAAATGTGATTATGGAACAAATTGGATGCTTTGTGATAGGTTTTTTTTTTTTTTTTTTTTTTTTTTTTCTTACACAAAACATTGAAATGAGAACTGGATCAAAATTGTCAAAGGAATTGACTCCAATTTTGTGTGTGTGAAAATTTCTTTGTAATGGTCTGTCATTTGTCTACAGTGCCCTCAGAGTCCGGTTGGAGTTTCAGGCAGTTGTGAGCTCCCGGAAGTGGGTGTTGGAAACGGAACTCTACGCCCTCTGCAAGAACCACAGCTCCCTTAACCACTGAGCCATCTTTCCGGCCCAATTTTCTGTAAATATGAAGCTGAAATCTTTTCTCTGTGGAGAAAAAGCAAGAGTGGGTGCTGTGATGGAATGTCATGACTGCAGCCAAACAAAGGAACTGTAACTTCCTATCAGTGCTTCCTGGTAGAGGGCTGGCCCAGAGTCAAACATCAGATGGTCAGAAGTGCTCTCCTTTACACTCTAGGAACCACACTTGGTGGGATGATGCCTCCCAAATGCGGGTCTCCGCAGTCTCGCCTGCTGCTCATTTGTACTGTATTTATTAAAACATCATTTTCTACCATGCTGACGTGGTGAGCTCTTTCACTGCTTGCTACTCGAACCACAGCATTTGGTGGCCCCTACAAAGGAGCAGGGAAAGTTAAAAGTCCTTCAGTCAAATGCAGGTTTGGAAACAGTTCATGGCCTGTGGTCAGGGCAACTTGCCCAAAGGACCCCAGCTGTGGGGTTTGATTACCATCAGTCTTGGTAGTTGGCAACCAGTGCCCCTGGTGTGTGTAGTTTATTACACCGGATAGTCGAGTCTATAGTATGTCAGGGTTGAACTGCCTTGCCTTGTCTGGTAGAGAAGACCTGTTACTCACCCAGGGCAAGTCTGCACATTGGCCCCTCTTCTGGAGGTGGCAGCCACTGAAAAGTAGAATCTCTGGTTAAGCTGCACCGTGCCCGTCTCCAAACCTCCGTCACGTCACCCTATTATTGTCATTTCCTTGTGGCCTGCATTACTGATACTCTTCATCTGAGGACTTCTTCATGGCACCTGATCCAGTAACCCATGGTTTTTGCACTTTACCTTTTGGCCCTTGACAGGAGTTCTCAGTAAGCTGAAACCCTCCTTTAGAGAGTTGTACCTTGGATGTTGATTGAATCCTTGTTCTATTAGCGATGCCCTATTAGGAATTAGGGTCACTGATGCCCTTCTCACTGGGGGTCAGCCCTATTGCTGTAGACTCATTATTGCAGTGTAAGTTTCAGGGACCTCCTTAAAATTTCATCATTTCTTTCTGCGCAGTACAAACTTCAGTTGTAGGTCTGCCTTTTTTCTCTTGTTTGTTTTGGTATTTCAAAACAGGGTTTCTCTGCCTGCCCTGAAACTTACTCTATAGATCAGGCTGTCCTTGAACTCCCAGAAATTTGCCTGCCTCTGCCTCCCGAGTGCTGACTGATTATTTTCTTACAGTAACAGTAGTAGGCTGCTTGCGTACATTCCTCAACTCACTGTGGGGTGTTATGGAGATAATTTCTGTTTTGAGACAACCTCACTCAGGCTGGCCCCACACTCCCTACATGGCTGAGTGTCTTTGTGCGTCTACCTCTCATGTATTGGCATTACAGGCTGTGCCACCATGCCTAGCTCTTACAGTTTGGAAGGATCCTTTTTCCTTTATTGTACACCCTGAAATGCTCATCCTGATTTTCCAAAAATCAGTGGAACAAAATAACCAGCTGCTGAAGTTGCACTTATGTGATTTAAGCAGGAGGCTCTCTAAGGAGTGTCTGGTCACATTTGCCCCCTGAAGTCAAGATACAAGTCGAGACACTGGTCTTGGATAAAAGCCAGTCTTAACCATGCTAGCAGTCTGAGAGAATTTCCTTTCATGAACAGAACTGCAATCCAATCAACTCTCTAGAAAGAGTAGTTCTCATTAGTTACTGTCACAGTCAAACCCTCTAGCTCTTATACTTGGACTAGAGATTCCTGTTACAGACATGAGGTCTGGCCCAGCAGGAAATCTCCATACCTGAAAACGGCTCAATCCAAAAAGCATGCAGGCTGCATGTGCAATGGGGATCAAGGGTAGGACCCAGTCAACACTGCTCAATATTTATTTTAGCCCCTGTGAGAGCAGCCATGTACTCCCTGTTAGAAACATTTCTCAATGCCATCTTTTCTGTCTTGTGCTTAAATCCTGAGGACCCTCCTGTGTGCTTTCTATGACAGATTTGTGCCTATCTTTCCTCCTAAGCATCAGACACGGGTAGCCCGGCACCTGTCCTTCCCAGGATCGGAGTCGGGAAAGGAACCTTACTGTTGTGTGCCCATCTGAGTGAAAGCTGAACCTGTTTTATGGTTGGGCCCTCGACCTTAGCACAGGTAGAGGTGGGCTTCTGTGGTCTCCTGAAGTCTACTTTACTGCCCCAAGTCTCCCTGGGATTTAGAAATAATTACTGTACCCAACAACTTTCAGCAATGGAGGAGGAAATTCACTTGAAAGCAACAGTTATATTTTACAGCTAACTGCTGAAGACCTACCCTGTCAGAGGAAGAATATTGCTCAAGTGTCCGCATATCTTGATAAATATACCTGAACTTCGAAAAAAGTCAGAGTAAACAGCTTTGCTCGGGAATGGGGAACGCGTGTCTGGCCATGACCACCCTTATCGAATAGGCCCACTTACGGCTATTTGCATCTTGTAGTCAGTCCTTATTTTCATCTTTTAAGGTTGGCATACAAGGTAATAGGTTTCACTTTGGTGTTTCCAGATTTCTGTGTTTTTAATCTACTTGTCAAGTTCATCTCTAGGACTAAGCAGTTCTAGGGCCAGGTGATATTCAGCATGGATTTCAGCTAATAACCTCAAAGGATTCATCACCAGTAGGTCCTTTAAGATTAAGTACCAGTAGGCCACCAGAATTGTCTTGCCAGCCATTCTTAACTGTCCCTTCATGACTGACTGTTCCTGACAAATCAACAGAAGGTAAGGACAGCATTAACATTGCATGCTGGGGCTAGAAATATGCTCTAAGGGTCACGAACTAATGTTCTTTCAGAAGAACCAGGGATGAGCTGACACCTGGCCTCTGCAAGTGCCTGTTCTCAATGTCCATCCCCATACTCATAATTAAAAAGTAAATTTAAAAAGATTTTCTGCTGCCTGAAACTCCAGAAGAAACCTCCTAAACATACAGGATTGGCCTAGGAGAAAAGGCCGCTCTGAGAAGTATTGTGGACTTGTCACATCAATGCCACAGGGACCAGCCTTTGTCCAGAGAACACCAACCAGTCAGACTTGCTCTATGTACATTGCAGGATGTGTGTGCAACAGGTAGTTCTGCTACCGCTCCCTTTCACTCTTCTGGGTGAATTTTACTGCCTGTGACTCATTTATTTAGTTATCTCTGGCCTGGCTTCAATGAGTAAATCAATCTGGAAATGAACTTTCTTTCAGAATGCCTCCTTTTCACTTGATCCAGAACAAGGCTTGATTAGTAGTTCACCAAGACGAGCTAATAGACTTGTGAATGATGCTAGTTTTTCCTTGTTAGCTGCAGGGGGTCCTTAGCAAGCTCTGACTTTGTACAAGTATCCCTTCACCAGTCCACAGTCAATCTAATATGAATCCCAGCTACTCAGGAACCTTAGGTTATCAAGTTCATGGACAGCTTGGATAACAGTAAAATCCTGTCTCCATAAAAAATGAGGGTCACAAATATGTACTGGTGGTAAAGTACCTAGTAGATGCTGTTTCTCCTTTTTACTCTACCCAGGCCCCCTGCTCTGTCAGCCATGTTTAGGGTGGGACTGCTCTTCACTGCACTCTGGAAGTCCCTCCTGTTATGCTGAGGACCAATGATTGTCACTGTCCCTCTGCTGCTGGATTTAGATTCTGGCAGCTGCCCTAAGCTGCTATGTGGGTCCCATCCTTGTGCTGGTGTGGGGTGAGCTACCACTTTCTCAGCTTAGTAAACTTGCTTTATAAAGTGAAATGTATGTATAGGACATACATTTCCTATACATGTGAATTAAAAAAAAAAAATTCCATTTTCCAGTACTTTGAACTACTGGCTTGTTGCTAGCAATCAAACAACCTTGTGTATACTCTGCAAAAGCTCCTAAGCATGTAGAAACACGGTATCACCATGTAGTTCAGGCTGGCCTCGTACACACATCCTTCTTTGGCCTAGTTTGTATTCAGTAAAGAAGCATTACTTTCATGTAAGGAGGCTGAGAAAGGTCTTAACAGTCAATAGGTGTAATATAAAGTTAGGGGACCTCAGTCCAATCTAGGTGCTAATAGTTTATAGCAAGTGATTTCCTCTGCCTTCATTTCACTGATAAAATAATTGCACCCCAAATAAAAAGTACAATGAGGCAACACATCAACTACGGTTGGAAGCTCTGAAGATGATAGTAATCCTTTTTAAGTACGGGACCAGCCTCATTTGGTAAAAAATTACAAAAACATACTAGCGCTTGCTTTAGTTGAGGCAGGAAACATTAATTATAACATTACTAGTGAACTCCAGTACCTGGTTTGTTGATGATTTATTCATTTGTTATGTGTTGTGCCTGTATGTATGTATGTGCCCTATGGGTATGCAGATACCGCTGGAGATCAGAAGAGGGTGTAGGCTCCTCTGGAACTGGAGCTACAAATGGTTGTGCACTACGGGGTGGGGGATGGGGGGAGGGTGCTGGGAAATAAACCCAAGTCCTCTGTGAAAGCAGCAAGTGCGCTTAACTGTCAGGCCATCTCTCCAGCCTTTGCTGTTATACTTTGTTTCTCTTTTGGGGACAGGCTCTCTAGCAGCCTAGGGTAACCCGAACTTATGTGGCCTTGAACTCCTGATCCTCCTGCATCTACCTCTTCTACAGACCAACTTCTACATTTTTCAGTTATGGGCTTATATCCCTAATAGAAAACGACAAACGCTCCAGTCACACACACACACACACACAAAAAACAGTACCTTTGGATTTTCAAATCAGGGAGCTTAGTTTGCTCCAGAGGCCCAAGACGAGTGCTAGTGGGTCTGAATACCGTGGTTAGTTATTGAAATATTAAGGATACTTTCGATATCCCTCACTCACGCATCTAAGACTTTATAAGTTAAATCCCTTTGGTGTGTGTGACGAAATCTAAGTTTTCAAAAGGCAAAGGCAGAACCAATAATTAGCCTTGCCGAACCACAAACTGAACCCGCCCTCGCAGCCCAGTTTTCGCGCGGTTTGCCCAGTATGGGTCGTGTCGCCAGCAGCTGCTGACGCCTCACAGGAGTGCTACGTGGCGTCCTCGCGGTCACCGCCGTTCTTCCCAGACGGAGACGCCCATCGCCACTTCCCCTTGATGCACCGCCAGGCGGCCGCATCCCAACGTTAGACGCCTCCTCTCCAAACACGGCTAAATCCCAACCTCCAGCTCGCCTCGCCTTCCGGAGCCCCTGCTTCCGGAAGTGGCGGCCCGCCGGGTGGGAGGAGCGAGCCGCTGCTCCCGGAAGTGCCGGCCGGCAGGCGGGGCTGCGGCTGCCACGTTGGAGCGGAGCGTGGAGGTGGCCCTGTGCTGC